TGCATAATCTAACTGTTAGCCCCATTGGGAAATGAAATAGAAGTCAGTTTAAATCATTTTGAGTTTAGAAATCAAGAGGCATGTATTTTAATTATACTCCATGACAAATTTTCTAAGATTCCAGTTACCCCCTCACTTCCCTCCCTGCTCCTCAACCAAATTTATACAAGCAAACCATGAAAGAACAGCCTATAATTTTCATAATTACAAATCCCCTAACCCCTTTAAGTGGTACGTCGTAAACTCCATCTACTGACAATGTTAATGCTTTAAGAGGTACAATGTCGTTGTGTGCCACTGAATCTATCTGGACTCATAGTGATCCCATGTGACCAAGGAGAAGAACTGCCTCATATGGTTTCCTAGGCTATAATCTTTAAGTAAGCAGCCCTGGTGGCACAGTGGTTAAGCACTCGGTTTCTAACCAAAAGGTTGGTGGTTTGAACTCACCAGCTGCTCTGTGGGAGAAAGGTGTGGCAATGTGCTTCTGTGAAGATGACAGCCTCAGAAACCCTATGGGGCAGTTCTACTCTGTCCTAAAGGGTTGCTGTAAGAATCAACTCAACAGCAAAGGGTTTGTTCTTTGGTTTAACCTTTACAGGAGCAGGTCACCAACTCTTTTTTCCTGCAAAGCAAAATAGCAATATGGTTAATGTGTGGTCTGCTCTGTGTGACCTTGAGCTAGTTATTCGCTACTGTATCTTGGTTGCTGCTTCTGTTTAAAAAAAAAAAGGGGCAAAGATAATGGTACCTACTTAAGAGGTTGTTATGAGGAGTAAATGGCTTGATACGTGTAATTTACTCACAACAGTGCCCAGCATATGGTAAATGCTAAGTGCTGACTGCATAAGGCATTTGGCTGCTAACCAGAAGGTTGGCAGGTCATACCCACCAGACACTCCACGGAAGGAAGCCTGGGCAATCTACTTCTGTAAAGATTCACTGCCTTGGAAACCCAGTGGGGGTCACTACGGAACTCGACAGCAGTGGGTTTGGTTTGATTTTTGAGAATAGTATTATTTTGTCTTTCAAAGGAAAGGGGTCCCTGGTGTACCACAAGTCCCCTTTCATGTGGTGCCACATAATTTGTCCTTCTCTGCTTACCTCGTCATGCCACTCCAGGAAATGTTATGACTTATTACCTCCGATCTATGGTGAAGCTAAAATTGGAGTAAAAAAAAAAAAATCAAACCATCGTAGCCAGCTTTCCTTAAAAAAAAAGTAGTATTCTGGCTCCTGTAGATATGGTTTGAATTCTTCTGCTCTCAAGTAGGTTAAGTGAATCACTTACAACTAACTGGCTCCAAGGAGTTAGTTTAATTCCTAGGTCTTGCATGATTTTCGGAGGTGATGCATAAACGTGTCAGCAATTCACCAAGTTGCCTGCAAGTAAATATTTTGATGGGAAGCTTTTCTGGGTCTGTATTTTAAAAACTAAGTGAAAACAAACATCACACTAGTACTGACAGCACATAAGAAAATTAACGTGTTTCCAAAATATCTAGTGTGAATATCACTTGGCCACAGAGCTGCAAAAGCATACTGGGTATCATGACATCTAGCTTATGTAACTAAACCTCATTGTCATTCTCAGGGAGCCCTGGTATCACAATGGTTAAGCACTTGGCTTATAACCAAAAGGTCGGTGTGGTTCAACAGTTCAAACCCACCAGCCACACTTCAGGAGAAAGATGAGGCAGTCTGCTTCTGTAAAAATTACAGCCATGGTATCCTTGTGGGGCAGATCTATGCTGTCCTATAGGGTCACTATGAGTCAGAATTGACTCGACAGCAACAGGTATATAAGTATCAGAGTTTCCTAAAACAAAAGAAAGAAAGAAACAAAAAAATATAAACTGTAGACATACCTGTGAACTTCTTAGTTATGAGTCAATACCACTTGCTGTCTAGTTGGCTCACACTCATAGCAATCCCATGTGTTGGAATAGAACTGTGCTCTATAGAGTTTCCAAGGGCTGCTTTATCTGAAGTAGCTCACCAGGCCTTTTTTCCTACATACCTCTGGGTAGATTCAAACCACTAACCTTCTGATTAGCAACCTAACATGTTAACTGTTCGCACCATCCAGGGACTACATGGAGTCAATACATTCTTTTAATGTTTTCACCAGTCTGAAGTGGGTTTTCTGTTACATGCAATTAGTTAGATCCCTACCTAGAGCAGGCAAAATAGCTTACACTGGATAAGGGCCTTTGGACCCCAGAACTTGTACTCCAAGGCTCATTACAGTGCCACCCCACTATGATGAGGAGTGGGAAAGGAAATGGGCCAAGCCAGTAGGACAGACAGACGAGAAATTCAAAGATGGCTTCCATGGTGATGCTGGGCATGGGAGGGAAAAGAAGACTCCAAAGATACAGCTTGGAAGTTAGGAGTTCCTGCCCAAGCATCCAACCTAAAAATGAAAGCCTGTATTGGCATCATCATTTTTAGCAAAAGGCTGAAGAGTAATCAGGTGCTGTGAATTAGAGCCAGTTGATTCTCAGAGTTGCTTGGTAAAAGTTATTAAAAGTTTTCTCATTAATAGAAGAAATTGGTGGTTAATAGGAACTGTAGTTTTCCCTTTAAAAAAAGTTGTTGTTGCTGTTATGTGCCATCGAGTCGGACCTGACTCATAGCAACCGCCCCTTGGGTTTCCGAGACAGTATCACTACAGAAATAGATTGCTCCATCGTCCTTCCAAGGAGCTCTGGTAGCATAGTGGCTAAAGCACTTGACTGCTAACCAGAAGGCTGGTGGTCCAAACCCACCAGCCACTCCTCGGAAGGAAGGTTGGGCAATCCTACTTCCGTAGTGATACTGCCTCGGAAACCCAAGGAGGGGTCGCTATGAGTCGGGGCCGACTCGACGGCACATAACAACAACAACAACAACATCGTCCTTCCAAGGAGTGGCTGGTGGGTTTGAACCGCCAGCCTTCTGGTTAGCAGTCAAGTGCCTTAGGCACTAAGCTACCAGAGCTCCTTTTAAATAAAGAGAGGAGGCTTATTTTCAATACAGATAAGTTAGCTTTACTATGCAGAAAAATCCTGACAATGTCTATTCTTCTGGTTGTTCAATTCAGCAGATGCAAAAGAATGGAAAACCATTCTTCAATGGGCACTATAATTGTTCACCGCAATTTCAGAGTCTCTGATTTAGTAAACGATAATTTTGTCAAATTTTAAAGGTCACAGTTAAATGTTTAGCTGTAATTTTAATATTAGACATGAGACATTTATCTTGGGTTGGCTTTTTTTCTTTTAAATTATTGCTCTGCCTTGGCAAATCAAATTGAAATGAAAAGAATGGGACCTGCAGGAAGGGGAACATTTCTTCAGCTTATTCATAAGAAAAAGAATATTCTTTCTTTGTCCAATCTCATTTTTCTCTATATAATAGTGAAATATTTAACCATTCATAAAACAGAAGCATTTATATTAAAATACAACCTTAAATATAACCCTATAATTTTCACCAGGAACCTAGTAAAATAGGATGCACAGAGATTAAAACAAGAAAGACCACTCAATATTCAAATGGAAATGCAGCATTACATGCCATATAATAAATATCCAGGATTTCTAATCCACAAATTCATCATTATTTTGATTTTGATTCTTTTTTCCCAGTTAAGACCTTTATGGTATAATTTCTTATAATAACTTTACAAGTTAAGTATAACATGTGAAAAGAGAATCCAACTGATTGGACTGCTGAAATAACACAGTTCTCAAAATTTTGCAACATATTTTAATCTATAACATATAAAATTGTCATTTTGGCAAGAAATACACATCCATATAACTGCTCAATTAACTTCTTTATCAATGTAAAAAAAAGTCAAAGTTAATAGTATGAAAAGAAACAAGCTAATCTTATGTTAGAGATAATCTTATTGCCTTAGCTCTTGGACTTTGGCAATAAATGTCTTAAGTTTTAATATATTCCATAACTTAAATACTGTATTAACAAAATATAAAACTTTTCTTTTTAGCAAAATACTATACAAAATGCTATCTTTGCACATTTAAATTTGCACATTTCCTCACAATGTTTTAGAACCCTTTAAATCTTTCTCTCTAAATGTTACTTTTCCCACATGTTTTTAGGATCCCTCTGACCCCCAGTATCTCAAAAAACACAATTCAACCACTGCCGTGGAGTTGGATCCGACTCATAGCGACCCCTCCTTGGGTTTCCAAGGTGGTATCACTATGGAAGTAGATTGCCCAACCTTCCTTCCGAGGCACCAGTATCTCAGTATCTCAGAGCTGGGTTTTTAACAGTGCAAATCGGTCTATGATTAAACTATGAATTCTGAAACCAAAGATTGCTACCTACCTAGGTGGAGTTTTTCTAGGTAAATTCTGCTGATTGAAAGGCACTCAAAATCCAAATCACACATTTATATTTTTATATTTAGTTTCTTTCCTGCTGTAACGAAACATCTCCCACAAACACTTGTTAGGGATGATGCGTCATTTAAAAAGACTCTTTTAAACTACTCTTCTCTTGACGTTCTGGGTAGGGCAAGTGAGGGTGGAGTCTGTTAGCTTTTCAGCATGATTTCTTGCACCCACACTTGGGATGATTTCTCCATTTTTTAAATACCGAGAGTAAAAATGATTCATGTTTACCTTCTTGCTGCTGTCAAGAGTCTCTTTTACAAAGTCTAATAGTCACCTACCATTACTGAATCTGCAGTTGAAGCTCTTACTCTGCGTATGGAAGGTCTCCCAGCAGGAGGACACTCTGCTGTTCCTTCTTCCTTTGGAGATGGGTTATCTCCCTTGTCCATCAACACATACGCCCCAAACCACCAAAAGATGAAGCCAAACCTTTTAAGCTTTGGAATACCAAGAAAAGCCACATGCTCCACATGTGATTGGATGTCAATCAGGTAAAGGGATCTTGGAGAGGTCCAAGGATCTGGGGATCCTGACACAGGAGTCAGCTGCGCCAGTCCTGCCCAGCTGAGACATCAGCTGTGTGTCAGCGAGGAGTCTTCTCCAAGGCTAGACGGTGTGGTTACTTGCAGGTGTGGACGTCAGTCATGCTTTCACACCTCCTGCAGCGGACATAGCAGCACCAGATAAACTTGCACTCACACCTCTCCACATGCCGGACCACATGGGTGTTGTAGCCTCGGCCACAGCACAGGAGGTTGCAGCCACCAGCCCCATCTGATGTGCGATTGCATTCTCTGCCTCGCGTCCCTGGGATGCCCAATTTCTTATCCTCCACACAGTAGTTGGGAGACTTATTAATGTAGAGCAGGTCCTCCTTGTGGATCGGTAGTTTCCTCTGATCTTTCTCTCTCCTGAGCATCTTCCTCTTGATTTTGTCTGAGATTTGGATACTGTTTTCATATTTATCCTTCAACAAACGACCAATCTTCTCAAAAGAAGACATGGATTTCCAGCACGTTCTCACAGCACAGGAGCCCGAAACCCCATGGCAACGGCAGTCTATGGACATCAACTTGGCGACAGCCTGAAACCAACAGTAATTGTGTTCAAACGTCATTCACCCAGTGTTTTATTCTATAACAAGTTGTTGTTGTATGTGCCGTCGAGTCGGACCCGACTCATAGCAACCCCTCCTTGGGTTTCCGAGGCAGTATCACTACGGAAGGAGATTGCCCAACCTTCCTTCCGAGGAGTGGCTGGTGGGTTTGAACCGCCAGCCTTATGGTCAAGCACCTTAGGCACTACCACCAGAGCTCCTACAACAGTACAGCCAGCCTAATCACTTAACTTTCTGGATCTGTTTTCTCCTGTATAAAAGTTAGTTTTGAACTTATACCCATAAAACAAACATTTCCATCAAGTTCATTTCAAACCATACTGACCCTAAAGTACCCTAAAGGACAGAGTAGAACTGCACTACAGGGTTTACTACTGCTCCTTTTATGAGAGCAGATCATCAGGTATTCCTCCTGCTAGTGGCTGTTGAGTTTGAATCAACAATCTCCTGGTTAGCAGCTAAGCACCACCAGGACTCCTCTTTGAACATACAGCATTTCTTTCTTTTACTTAAAACATCTTTAAAGATCACTTGGGTTCAAATGTTTTGTGTTTTTCTTGACCCCGTGGTGCAAACTTTTCCAAGTGCCCTTCAGTGTATACTAGGCTGTATTTTTACCAGAGATTATCTGAGATAACAACAGGACACTACTTTTATCCCTCATGTCCTAATTTTGGATGTGGAAGAACCCTTATGCTCCTATATTACTTACCTGAAGCACCTTCCTACTCAGATGTAGTCCATGGACCAGCAGAACAAGTGTCACTTGCAAGAAATGCAGACTCAGACACCTCTCCAGAACTGCAGACTCAGATGCTACAGTTTAACAAGATCACCAGGTGATTGGTCTACACATTAAAGTCTGGGATATACTGGTAGCTCCATAGCTCTCACACTGTGCATGGAAACACCTGTGGAACTCTGCAAATTAACCAAGGCTTGAACACCTGAGATTCGGCTTTAACTGGTCAGATCCAGGGAAGAGCACTTTTGAAAAATTGCTCAGATGATTAGAATAGGAACTAGGGATAAGACCTCCTGACTGACTCCAGAGTTGCTGCTTTGATTTACTGTAAATGAAAGTTCACAATATAAAAAACAAACTTTAATTGCTATACATTCATGACGTGGGTGGACTCAGTATCCCCATGTCATAGACTATATGAGAAACCCTGACTAACCATTTTAAATTAGTCGAAAGGAGAAAGGGCTGGGAAGTGTGTTTGCTCCCAGCAAATTCTTCCCCTCTTCCCAAAAATAAATTCAAAACATATGTCCTATCCTTGGTGGATCAGTAGCACCATCCCCACATAGAAAGGGGAAACTATTTATATAATTTTTCAGTTCTAAATGCTGAGTTTAGTTTCCCAAACTGAAGAATTAAATGAGATTACATAGCTGTGTAATAGCCCACTGCCTGACATACATCAAGATTTAAATAAATGCTCTGTTTCTCTGGAAAAGAAGGGACAGTAAGAGTTGAGATAACATTTCAAATGGCGCTAACATTGTGAAAACAATATAGAGATTTTAAAACTTTCAAGGCTCTCCTCTCTTACATACCAGGCTAGCCAGCATAGCTTCCTTCAGTCCCTAGAGGACAGCAGAGCAGATTAATAAATCGTCAGGACTAGCTGTAGAGCTGACGTTCTGTCAACATGCTGGGGAAAATGAAAAATGGATCCATCCATTCAATAACTTGGAAATTATGTACGTAATCTCACCATAGACAGGAAAAAGCTCACAGTTTAAATTCCACTTCCAGTTTTATCAAAACTACAAAATGACAGGGATTTATGCTTTGCTGTTTTGCACAAACCTGACATTGACATGGGTGTGGAATGTTACACTTTCTAACAGATTGACAAAGTTTTTGGAACTATCAAATGAGACAGAATATTTTAAACAGTTTATAATCTTTACAACCTCAAAGGAAAGCACATGGTATTGATTTGTGCAGTGTTTGATGCTTCCTATTAGTGTTTAAAATAATAAACTGAACATTTAAATTCTGTCCTTCATAGAAGATGGCACGTATGCTTTTTAATTCACGAAACTGAGATGCTAATAGATGTGTCTATTTCTTATTAACCTGGGCAAAGTTACCCTTCATAGTATCAAAACAATTTAGAAAGCATAGCATACAGGCTAATTTGGTTAAATTTATGACATCTGATATTTGCAAAGCCCTCAGTTCTTTAAAAATTCTCCTGGCAAATAAATGCTCAAATTAATGCAATCTGCTTAACTTTGTTCAGCTTATAAGTGCCTGCAGTATATGAGCCAAAAAGAATTCAATCACTGCTAAGTAATAAAACAAATTGTCCGAAGAGAGCCAAAAATCTAAGGATGCTTGTTGATATGTTTAAATGTGGACAACGTTCCGAACAATCATCACTTTGTGATTTAAAGCTGCCTCTTCCTATGGCTGAAGAGGGGACTTATGATTTTATTGACTAGGTCAGATATCCCATAAGGTGTTGCCAGTTTGCAAAATGCGGAGGACAGTATGAGTGCTGCCCAAATAATTATTGAATGATTAATCTAGTTTTACTCGAATGGCTGTAAGTCCTCCTTTTTTACTAACCTGCATCTGGAGGAAGTAATCAAAATCACCTCCTTAAACCAAAGCGTCACTGCCAGGAGGCCGACGGTATTGGAGAGCTCGCGCCAGGCTGGCTTTCCTTTAATTCCTCACTCAGCCTTAGGCTTATCCACAACACCATGGGTCCACAGAGGGACACGCTGCTTCCCAGGTTCGAAGGATTAAAAAAAAAGAGACTGATTTTGTTTTAATTCAATTATATTATCTTAGGAATATTTATTGTGATTTGGGAGATTTTCCTACCATAACAATCTAGCACTTTTAAGTGTTTGGAGTTAACTATAATTTTCCAGAGATGTTTTTAAAAAGTATTATTCCATCCCCTTTGAATTAGAAGTGTGTCTAAGAAAGGATGCAGCATATCTATCTTACATATATTTGAAGATAGAAAAAGAAATGAACTTCAAAAAGAATCTGAATAACTGGCATGCAGTTGGAATGATCACATCACCATGGCACTCCAAGGAAGTAATTTAGACAAACAGGATTAAAAGAAAGCAAAGTAATCACCACTAAGAGAATGTGATGAAATGTAGAATTAAAGGGTGAACACACACAAACACACACACAGAGTTTAACCCTAGAATTTACTGCTTCACAAAACATATTCATAAATTCTTAACTGCTTTAGTTTTGACAGGAAGAAATACCTTGCACATGTTGTGGTTGTGTGTCATGGACTCAATTCTGACTGATAGGGACCCTATAGGACAGAGGAGAACTGCCTGATAGGGTTGCCTAGGCTGTAATTTTTATGGGAGCAGATGGCCATGTCTTTTCTCCCACAGAGCCACTGGTGAATTTGAACTGCCAACCTTTTGGTTTGCAGCACGGCTCTTAACCACTGTGCCACCACTGCTCCTTTTGCCTTGTATGTAGTAGTTAATGAACATGAACTTGCTATTATTCCAGTTCTACAGAAAAATCAATAGTGTGGTTAAGGACACTTGCCTTACATAAGGAAAGTTGGTGACACAGGATATACAGTCTTTAGGTCTAGAAGGGTAACTTCAGAGTAACAGAGAAAAATGAAAGTGGACAACACAAATATATTTAAGAAAACTGCATGAACACTTCAAAAAAAAAAAAAAAGGTACTTTCTGGAGCTTTCCAGCTAGGATCTTAATTAATGTGAAACAGCTACCCTGAACTGTAGAGATGGCACAGACGTTTTCTGGTAACAGGAAAAGTAAGAGAATAGCAACAGAATGAGTTGTGTGTGGTTATGAGCAAATTCCTTTCTCTACTCTAGTTGAGTTGTTAAGGTTTATAACGATATTAACAAAAGAATGTTTTGTTAACTATTGCAAACAGATGTGCACATTTTGGTGGGATATTTTTAAACTATGGCAGAGCAATTAGGAAACTGGCATCTAATCTATGGGGTTCCTCCTGCACATTTTGGTTTGATACATTTTGAATGAACTGAAATAGGAAGGATGTATCATGAAAACTGAGGTCCTTGATATACAAAATATATTTCATGTAAAAGTAAAAACTGCTTGGGAATTGGCCCAAGTACTAAAGGGTATGACAATTTTGACTCAGAAGTGTTGCAATGGGCAGTGACTATTTTCCGGTTACACTGCTTTATCCAAACTTTACAGAAATGGCCAGAAAGCTGTTGTGGAACATTCTGTGACTAACATTCCATTCTGTCAACTATCAGATGATCTGCTTAAGTTTTTAATGAAAACTGTGACACGCGGTTGGGACGGTTGGTTGTATGTTAGGCTCCTATTCCTCTGCCCCATTTTGTCCCTTTCTATCTAAAAATATATTTGAACCTGCTGAGAAGCAAAACACATTTGTGTTGTTCAACGACTTATAAATATTCTTGAAACAGGTCAATGAAAATTTGGGGTTGGGACCTTCCCACTTTTTGAGTTACTCATCATAAAACAAATTATGGGGTAGGGAAACTTAAAAGTTTATGAGGTGGACATGGGAAGAATGGAAATATTTAAAGCACACCAAAAGAAATACCCATAAATATTCCAAGTCACATTATTCCCAGCAGTTCTGCCCCTGGAAGACATCACATCATACTGTTAGCCAATCACCATTCTGCAACATTATTCTTGGAGTCATAACTTTAGGAATGGTGTCAGAAACCAAGTGGGATTCAGAGTATTTAAGGTCAGCGGTTAGAAAATCATCTATCCTGCTCACAGTACTACTAAGCGCCAGTACCCACATTTCTCTGAACACTTTCCTACATTTTGAGTTTGGGGATTTTGAGACTAGGAAAATCAACTCAATTGAATGCAGACCTTGCACTTTACTCAGAAGAATATGCCTATTCGATTAAAATCCTAATTGCCAATACTAAAAGTTGATTTGATTGCTCATCCACTTTAGATAATAACCTGGAAACCTAATTTTTTTTTCCCCAGCAATGGAAAGAAAAATAGAGAAATGTTTTGAATTGTAATGTTTCATAAGCAAAGACCAACAAAAACACACAGTGGAGTATCCTAAAAATATCCAGGTAAATATTTTGTAAAGTTCCATCTAGAACAATGCGGGGGGGGGGGGGGGGCTTTCAGGAGAGAAAATTCTGAAATTTACTTAACATTGTGTAAATATGCATAAACTAAACTAACCCCACTGCGATTCAGTTGATTCTGACTCTTTTCCATATAACTAGAATAATAGCAAAAACCCAGGTAATGTGAGATTTCTTTTTCTTTTTGCCAAAAGGAGGTGGACAAAAATTGATGCTGTACCCTTTTACTATAATTAGATTATAAATAATAGTTTATGGGCAAAGTTAACAGTTACAGAGGCAAACACTGCTACCTAATCTGAAAAAAAATACGCAAAACAGAATAAAAACAAATAGTTACCTAATATTAGTAATAAGAATACATTTTAGAATGCCTTAGGGATTTTCATGATTTCAGAAGTCACTTTGTTTATAGAGAAGTAGTCATAGCATAAATTTCTGTTTTGTTTTCTGGTTAATTTTATTTTAAATCTCTACCAAATTATTTAAAGAATGGGTAAAGAAGATTTAAGGTATATATTAATAAAAGCATTCATCCAATTGTTTTCTTGTTTTTAAAATGTTAACTTGATATATTTTGATGTTCTCTAGTTTAATCCTAGGGCTTTAAAGTATGTATGCTAATTATATCCAATCTCTTTAGGCATATGTTAGAAATCATAAGTCTTTTATTGGATATTGAAATTGAAACAAACCACTGACTTAGTTTCTTTCTTTCTTTCTTTTTTTAAAGTAAAACTTAAAGGAAAGAACCATGTGCATAATTTCTAGTTAGGCAAGAAGTCACTTTTTAGTAAGAAAAAATAAATTAAAAGTTCTAAACAGAAATATGAAAATCTTACATGGCTACTTGCTAATCTATTTACTAACTTTCTGTTTTACTCTTTTGAGTTAATACAAGAGTTAAGATGAAAGATTTATTGAAACTTCTGTTTTTGTCTTTAAAATCAGAGCAGTTTAAGTAAAGAAAACTGGCTGGAACTCGCAACTACCTTGAATGGGTTCCATTTACTCACTTTTTGAAAAAGTAAATCAAATGCAACATATACTTTAAATATTCCTGAGAGATACTGAAACTTGTTTTAATTTATTTCAAGAGAATGGGACAGGTTACAATGACTGCTTTGAGACCTTTAGAGCTTTTTGGATATTTACAGTACTATATAATATGTTCTGATATACCTGTCCTAAAAAGGTTATTACAACATAGAGAATATATATTCATAAAAAGGTTTAACTCTTTTAAAAGTCCCTGTGTAATTCCATTATGTAACTCAATGCACCCAAGTAATTCAACTATATTGTAGAACCCAAACTTTTTATGTCAATATTCATTAATGTGAATATACAAAAGTTAAATAAAGCCACAAGTGTACTCTATTTTAGGAAAATTTAATGCCAAAAAAAAATCAGAATACATAAAAGAGGTTAATTAGGTGGTAGATATTTAAATTTGACTGCCTTCGATCTTTACTGTATCTATATTTTAAAATATCTACATATTAATTATATCTATTGTCTCCTTTACATGTATCTATATTTCATATTTTTACAATGAAATTACAGTACTTTATAATAAAATAAATGTTTCTATTGAAAAAAAACTTTGTTTTACAAAAAAAAATATTAGTTTAAAAAAAAACAACACTACCATGGAGTCAGACTCATAGCAATACTATAGGACAAAGTAGAATTGCCCCATAAGGTTTCCAAGGCTGTATGTAAATAAATCTTTACAGAAGCAGACTGCCTCATCTATCTCCACGAAGCTGCTGGTGAATTTACTGCCAAGCACCTTAACCACTGCACCACCCTCAATGCATTGAATGTTTGCTAGAGAAAGTATGGACCAAACCAATTTAGGAGTCACTGCTCCCTGAAAAAGAGATTTTTTAAATGATTAGTAATCAAATTGGGGGAAATGAAATCTGATTCAGTCCCTTTGGAAAGGCAGACAGTGTCGACCCTATTCCAGCTCTTGCCCGGGGGCGGAACCATATAACCCAACAGGCCCTTCTACATCTCTGATTTTATAATTAATATCTCAGGTATACAAGGTCTACAAAAACATTCTATAACAAGATTCAACTCACATCAGATGGAGAAGCTAGTTTAGCCCAATGTGAAGGAACAGATGTAATTGTTTGGCTTTTAAACCATTTGGACAGATTGATCCAGAAGTTTAATTCTAGTGTAAAAAGTTTCCCTAAAGACACTGGATTTCCATCCCATTCTACTACATACCTGCCTTCCCGCTTCATTGTTATGCAGGTTCATTGCTAACAAAACTTTGTTTTCTTTTCCAGTGCTGTTTCTGACGGGGAAGTCTAGGAACTTTCTGCTGAACCACATGCCATACTGGACATCATCAGAGCAGCCCCCCCAGTGCCAGCCTTCACTCGCCGAGCCGCCATTCTGCAAGGTGGTGTCACAGGAACATTCTGTCATGTTGCCTGCACTGCATGACCTGGTCACAGAATGCACCAGGCCAGCAGCCATCACGGCATGAATAAAAGCTGTTTCCTTGGTGCCTAGAACGAAGCACACATTGCTAAATTAGAGAACCACACACTCTATTAACATTCAGAACAAAGCTTCCTCATACTCTTATCAGAGAAATCACTTCCCAATTGCTTACGATTGAGTTGATGAGTACACATTAAGAAAGGGAGATTTCTTACTTTAGTCTTAAAAAAAAAAAGCAAAATAATTGTCAGTGTTCCACTTGAGGGGACTGTTCTGTGTTATGCTATGGTACGAATGCCCTTATTCATGTAATCATGATATTATGAATGTATGACATTGCCCTCTTGCTTTCAAATCTTCTGTTTATTTTCAGACTTTCAATTGGATGCCAGTACCTAGAGCTTAGTACTTAATTCACAGTAACAACTCAATGAATTCCCCTCAAGGGCAGTGCATTTGGTTTGGTTTGGGAGAACTCAATGAATACCTGTGGAGTGTAAAATCCTTTGCATGGATACTGTAAATGATAATACAACCAACACCCAAAGGAAACTGGATTGCCTTACTTTTTAAACTGCAAATGTGTTCTCACAAAACACACGGTGAAAAACTTGGTATGGTTTGGTTTTCAAAAACAGTGCAAGTCAAAATGCAAATTAAAAGGAAGCAGAGTCCAAGACAACTAGTAAATGTCAGCTTACTTTCACATTTAAGTGCTGTTGTCTTCTTTTAGGACACTGAATTCTAATCACTAATGTTAATAGAAACCAGTTAAACATTTGATGTAGTCTTAAAGACAATCAAAGGTAAAATATTTTTTTAAAAAAAGAACTAGGAAAGATTGAATATTGAAGAAGACATCTCCAGCACACCTACAGTAGACTTTGAGCTTAAAAGTTCAAACTGAAAGTTAAAGTTCCATTACTAGAAGGGACTCCGCAGGTGACCCTCCCGCCCAGCTAGATGTTTAGATTGGACTAGAAACAGTTTCACGCGCGTTGCCCAATAAACCTTCCCAACAGCTGATGACGCCTCTGCATTTCAGCAACTGTGAAGAACACATCTTTCTTTGCTGCAGGAGGTCGGGACTCCTTCGGAAGGGTGTGCGGGCCAAGACGCAGCGGGGAGGAGGAGCGCTGCTCCTCCTGGGGTGTGTAGCGAACCGGCGGGGAAGGTCAAAGGTGGAGGGCAGAACGGAAATAAACACGAAAAACGACAACGAATGTGCCAGCGCCGGAGTCCTGAAACTCTGAATCTGCTGGTATTTTTGCAACAATTCTGCCTCCCTGTCCCAATATCCTTACGAAGTTACAACGCACATGGAAGTGAACTTTTTTTTTTTTTTTTGCTGGGCAGGATCCGCGGGTGTGCACGGAGGCGGGGCAGGGATAGAGGAAAAAGAACAGAGCCTGAGTGGTCATGCTCAGGTTAGCCGCCCTTGGGCTGTCCAGGACAATCTCTAAAAATCACCACGATTCCGTCAACGCGACGCTCCCAGAAACCTGCAAACGCGGGGCTTCGCTGCAACGAACCACTTACTCGTGCAGGGCTCGGTGCGCAGCGAGCCGGTTAAATCAAAGCAGACGCGGCCGCAGCATTCCCTGCCACCGACCCCATGTTTCTCCAGCTGGTCAACCACGTAGGGAGGGGGGCGCTACAGGATCCAGAGGATCGGCGGTGTAGGCGACTCAGAGGTTTCCTGAGCTCCGGCGGGGCGCCGCGGGAAGGAGGACGAGCTACAGCCCTGAGCGCCCGGCTCTGCACCCGGGGGTCACCCCCTCCCGCTCCGCACCTGCGCCGCAGCTCTGGCCTCTGACCTGCCTCGCTTCCTACAATTCCCATCCACTTGTTGTTGGGGCCGTGGAGTCCATTTCCACTCATAGCGGCCCTATGTGACAGAGTAGAATTGCCCCGTAGAGTTTTCTAGGCCGTAATCTTAACGCAGGCAGATAGCCAGGTCTTTCTCCCGTGGCACCGTTGGGGGGGGGGTTCGAACTGCCAACCCTTAGCAGCTGAGCACTTAACCGTTGGCACCAATAAAGATCCTTTCCCTCGTACTAAATGGGCTCTGTGGGATTTACAAAGCGACCACGCCAGCACGATTTGCTTTATTCACAGGAACCGGAGGAACTGTAGTGCCTTCCCGACCCCTCTCCCGCGGGAGCCCGAGCGGACCCTGGGACTCACCGCTGCTCAGCTCGTAGCCAAAGACCGGGCTGGTGGCGGCCTGGGCGGCGGCGGCAGGCACCGCGCAGTTCCATCGCTCGTGCCTGAACTGGCTCCTGCACTCGTGGATGCCCAGGCGCGCGCCCTCGCGGAGGCTGGGCAGCAGGTACGGTTTCCTCCTGCACAGCTCCTTCTGGCGGCTGCTTAGCGGCAGGTTGGCGCAGCCCAGCTTCTCCGGAACCCCGAAGGAGGTGATGCCCAACCACCTGTAGGACACGGCCGTCCCCAGCGTCAGCCGCGCCCTGCTCCTCTCCCTCCCCGTCCCACAGGTTCTCCCGGAAATCAAGGCAGCTGCTCTAGGGTCCCCGACCCCCCGGCCCGCTCCGTTGAAAGTCCCCGAGCTAGGCACCCCTTTGCCACCTACCCCGTGTCCCGTGCGGTCCCGGTACTCACATCCAGTTTCCTTGGGCTCCGCAGGGGAACAGCGCGAGGAGGGCTGCCCACAGCGCGCACAGGCGGGGCAGGCCCAGGAGCGCCGCTCTGTCCATGGCCCCCGCATGGAGTCCCCCAGCCCCGGCGACTCCTCGTCCTCCCTCCCCGCCCAGACCCGCCGGGCCAGAGGTCAGTCGCCGGCACCAAGGTGTCCTCGCCCTCTTCCTCTCCGCATGCAATATATAAAGTCCAGCCCTGCTGGGGCTCTCAGCAGCCTCCCCTCCCTTGCAGGGCGCAGGGTGAGTGCGTGGCGAAAGCAGTGCGGGCGGCTCCCTGCGCGCAGAGTTGGAGAGGTGCGGAGGCTGCGGGAGCGGCCCTCGCATTCCAAGGTGAGAAACTTCTGCTGCTGGAGCCTTGACTCCATCGCCCCCGGCTCTCCTCCCATCTCCTCCCCCTGGCCGCCCTGGCGCCTGATTGGCCCCGCAGCTCATTATCCCGGGCCCTCGGGATCCCATTGGCTAAGAGTAGGCTCCGCGGGGGGCTCTTGGGGCTGGTGGCTCTGGGACCGCGGGTCCAGGCCCCGGGTGTCTTGACCTCCAGGGTGAGGGTCTTCATTGGAAGGGGCCTAATTCAACCTGAAGGCTGATAAGGGCGCCTCTGTTTCAGCAACCCTGGGGGAAGGTTTGGTGGGAGATGTCCTTGAGTTCCGCCCATCGCAGCCCCAATTGGACTTCCCTCTGGGTGGAGTGTCTGGAAAATCTCACTGCCCCGGAGCCTAGCTTTCTTTCCTCCTCTTCACCTCACAGGAGATTAATCATTTTTGAGTCAGAACTGGTACTAAACCAGTTGACGTTTCAACACTCTGCATGAGGTCTGACTTGCCTCAGGCTTCAGAAGACCAGTGAACTGCAGTAAGGCTTATAATGACCATCTTCATTTAAGTATGCACGTATTTTTAGGAGAAGGGAGGATTCTAGCTCAGCATTTAACTCGACCATATTTAAATTATATTACGTGATTTCGTTTTGCAGTGTTGTCCACCTTTCCTGAAGTTCTTGAGAGCACTGTCATCTGTACCAGACAGAAGATGAAGCACAGAGGGCAAGCCAGCCATTGTGGAGAGTTCCAGAAGAGATGAGGGCTACCTTTTTACCCTCCTGCCCAGCCCCACATTATGGCTGTCATTATGCTGCATGATGGCAAGCCACACACTGAAAACACGTAACAAACTTATTATTGGGTGGTGCAAATGATTAAGAGTTCTGGTGTCAACCAAAAGATTGGCAGTTGGAATCCAGCCAGAGGCTCTGCAGAGGAAACACCTGCCAATCTACTGTCGAAGGCCACAGCCATTAAAAACCCTATAGAGGAAGGACACAGGGAAGAGGTAACTATGGGGAGGAAGTGGGAGGAAAGCTGTTGCATTGTGGGAGATTCCAGTCAATGTCATGAGACAAAGTGTATGTAAACTGCTGCATGGAAAATGAACTTGCTCTGTAAAATTTCTTCCAAGTCACAATAAAATTTTTTTTAACAAATAGACAAACCCCTATAGAGCACAGCTCTACTCCAACACACATGGGGTCATCATGAGTCAAATCCACTCTAATGTAACTGGTTTAGTGTCTTGTTTCTCACGTGCCCAGAACTGTGGGATCTTGTACTGTCAGGTGTACAAACCCGGGATGGAGACAAGTCTAAAACAAAATAATTTGAGATGATTAGTAAAGGAGAGGATAGAATCCTGCAGAGCACGCTGTGGAGCCAAAGAAGGTTTAGAAGCTGGGGGGTATTGTGGTGCCTGATGGGAAGGTTAGTGAACCAAGTGGTTTGAAGGACGGAAGGTGCCTGTGAGACACTGAGGGCAAACGGAGCATGCTTAGCAGTGCCACCAGCAAGTCCTGCCTCAGCTGGGGATAGGCTATGTTTCAGAAAGGCTCCATCTGCACCCCAAAGGACTTCTGAAGTGTTGACAAATTCTCAGCGTGGCTGTAATAGCTCAGGAGGTACTGGAATCCATACTTACCCAAATAAAGGATTTGATCATATTTGCTGCACTTTTCCTATATCAACGCAGAGCAATGAACGCTGATTAGCGTACCCGTGATATACTGTTCATTTCTTTGTCCAACGAATAATGATTGAGTACACAGAATGGACCCATAGAATTGACCAAATGGTTGTATAATTCATAGCCTACTTGGCAAGACCAAGAGTGAGCAGGCGATTGCAATATCGTGGGGTAAAAGAGAGAAGTCTAGTGTACACATATAGGAGGATTGGTTTCTCTAGTTTAGAGGCGTCACCTGAAGGTGGCCTTTGGTATCAGCCTGAGGGTCTGGCATTATCCCGGCTGCCAGACAAAGCCTCCAGAAGAGCACTCTGAGCAGGCTGCTTAGAGTTGAAGCCTACTAGGGGAACCATTTCCAATCCGGGGCACACTCAGGTCTGCAAGGCCCTGCATCTGCTTGTGTGGGTAGAGCCTTGGGGTTATTCTGTCCATACCTCCTAATGCAAGGGGGATGTGGTAGCAGGAGTGCACCCCCCAGAAGAAATAGGCTTTTCCTTCATTCAACAGACATCTGTGTGAGTATTTGGTGCCAGGCATTGTGACCTATGACGTACTGCATGCTTCCCATGCACCTCCAGCATTCTTTGTCTCTTTCTGTCTCTCTCTCTCTCTCCATTCACAAAATTTCAATCCCCCAACATTTCACATTACATGCAAATTGATTCTCAGTTCATAAATAAGTAAATGAGCTCAGAGAAATTAAGAAACTTGCTCAAGGTCATTCAGCTAGTAAATAGTAGAATCAAAAACCAATCTTATTTCAGATGTCAGTGTTTTGTTGTTGTTGTTGTTGTTGAAGTCTTGCCACTCCAACCTACTGCTACATAACCTAATTGTAAACCACTATTTATTTATTTATTTATTTATTTTCCTGACCAAATCCCAGATCACTAGGCTTCAGTGTCAAAATTTCTCATTTGGGGTCCACAATTCCTTACATTCCAGCTCACAGATGTCTCCATTCAAATAATGATTCTGTTTCCTATACCATTAATACCATAGCATGAATGGCACTATAAAGAGGAGCTAATATTATATCATCTCATGGTCAGAGACCAGCCATTAAAGACTTACTCAATGCTGTGGAGATAAAGCACCGTGTGACTCGAGTTTGCATAGTTTACTGAAGCATCTGTAGAATCTTGATCCCACAAGGAAGACATTAGCTTGTTTTCCGAGAGGAAGTAAGGTTTTTTGAGCCATATTCTGGAGGAGGATTTAGGAGATAGACAGGACTTCAAGCACATTCATTTCACGAAAAGGAGCTCTCTCGAGGGAGTGAATCTGTGACCCATGGTCCTCTCTGACCAGCTAGCTAAGTCAACTGAACCAGATAAGTAGCTGGCCAGCAATAAATCCCACCTCCCCTCCAAGGCACTTGTCCATTTCTGGTTGTAGAACCCAGGGGAGCCTGTTCCTTCTGGTAGTTTTCTCTTAGTCCCTGGGAAACTCAGCAAAAAAAAGCCTGCCTGCACAGATATGCCTTGGACTCTGCCTCTGGCAACCCATCAGAGGACAAGACTTCTAAGGGCCCTGTTGTAAGAATTTCTGTTGCAGATCACAGAGACTTATGTACTGGAAACTGATACCAGAAGCACCCCAGCTGGTCTTAACTCCCTTGATAGAACAGAAGACCAGAGGTGACTTCTTACATAACTGGGTCCCCATCCATTCTATTTTAAATTCCACCTGGATGCTACCAGCGTGGAACAGACTTGTGACCACTGGCTGTCAGGAGGGGGTGGAGAATGGCATTCTGGATGTCCTGCTGTCCTTTGGTGGCCCGAAAAGCCCCTAGGAATGACAGAATTGGAGGAAGAGAAGAGATACCAATGCCAGTCCCAAAAGTAAGAGCAGGAATCAGGAAAGGGTGACATCTTGCTTTTTAAATTTCCAAAACCAAAGAAGTTAAAAGTTTTCATTCCCTTGCCCTAAGAATTCAGGTTAAAGAAGCCTGATAAAGCCTTAGTAGAAAGTGGCTTATCTCTGGCAGTGTTTGTAGAGATTATGCACCCTCTATGGAATGAGGGACTAAAAATAAAGACAATCCTGGACAAAGACAAGTGGTCACCACCCATCAGAGAACACAGGTAAACCGAATAAATGCACAAAAGGGAATACATAGAGGATGTTGATTCTCTGACGCCCCTTTCAAAAACATATCCTGAATTTTGCAAAACAAAACAACTCCATCAATCAATACATCACTGATGATTTTAATGAGGTATCAAAAAATGACTTGAAAAATCTGACATTTTCATTTTTCAGAATACTACTTATGGAGTGGACACTGGGCAGTCTATAATGGAAAACTACATTTGTTCTTCCTGGACATTTTTACTAAAATAATCTAGCCTCAAATTTTAAGTGAGAAAACTTTTGTGTAAAAGTCATTTAGAAAGAATTGATAGTGTCAGCTTTATCCTGTTGACTTTTAAAATTGCACTTTATTACTATATTGACACAAATGTTCATCAGTCAAAAAATGCTAGTCAAAATGAGCATACACTGAGACAGTTCCAGTACTTTTTGTGTTCAGGGTTGTTGTTTCTATGTTAAACCACTGGTTCCTGTCCTCATTGGATGATGCAAACTGTTTGCTCTCAGCTATGAACTGCCTGTCAATTGGTCCTATTGTGGCTAGGCCATCGGTATTTCAAATACCAGCTGTCGCTCATGGTGGGCAGCTTTCAGCAGACCTTGCAGACCAAGAGACTAGTAAGAAGGACCTGGCAATCTGCTTCTGAAAACAATTAGCCAGTGAAAACCTTCTAGGTAGCAGTGGAATGCTGTCTGATACAATGTGGGGATGGTGTAGGAACAGGCAGGGTTTCGCTCTGTTATACATTAGGTTAATATGTGTTAGAACTGACTCTACGGCCCCTAACAACAACAACAAACCTAAAGGTTTGTGGTTGGAACCCACCCAATGGCTCCATGGATGAGAGGCCTGAGAATCTGCTTTTGGAGGTAAGACAGTTCTTAGAATAGTTCTACTGACTATGAGGTTTTTTCTTTTTTGGTTTGAGTCATGAGTCGGAATCGACTGACAACAGGGTTTTTTTGGTTTGCCCTGT